TGCGCCCTGACGAGGCACAGGCAGCGCTGCCTGCAGCAGCCGCCCGCGCTGGGGGAGCACTGACGCCTGCAGAAAGGTTCTGGAGCCCTTGGGGCAAAAGCCTTCGTGGACAAGAGGGTCCTGACGTGGTGCTCAGAGGTGGTGGAGCTGCCGACTAGAAGATGAACAGGGGAAGGGCTGGAGTTTTGACCAAGGAGAACTGAAGTGTTAAAACCAGATGGACATAGGCCAGTAGTGGTGAGATGTGATTGCTTTGATCCTTGACGGGACACCCCACTGTCTTGTCAGGGATGGAGAGCTGAAAGAAGAGACAAAATGGGAGGCTGTGGCATCGTACTCTTGTGTGGGTTTACCTGTCTGCTGTACAGGCACAACGTGGAGGTAGCATTTTCCTTTCTCCCCATTTCTGAGGGGCAGCTTCTCTGAGAACAAAAATCCTTAATGTGTTCTTAGGCTGGTGTTTGATCTTTCAAGATACTGCCTGCTCACAAGATGGGGAATCAAAGGGCAAGGCCATAATTGCAAGTACTTGTGTATCGCTGGCTCGCTGCCTTGCCAATTTGCATACAGGAGAGCATGCAAACAAATTTCTCAGGAGGCCAGAAGACTTGGAAATCCTCCAGGATTCCTTCAGGCAGCAGTACGATTAAGGACATCCATAGTTCATCTGGGGATCCGGAGCTTGGGCCGGCATAGCTGAAATTCATGGTTCTTGTGCCATGTGGTTCTGCATTTGGGGATTTGGTGCTGCCCCACCCTCTGCTCTCAGATACCTGCAGCCACTGCATTGCTGTGTGAGGATTATTTGGGTCATGATTTTGTGGAGGTGGCAAGGCCCTGTGAGCTGCAGCTGGCCCTCCCTTGCACTCGAGCCATCCTGTAGGTAGGGTCTCAAAAGGGAAAAAAAATCAAGGAAAGACTGAAGTGTTGATTGCTTTGTTACATGAAACTTGCATATATTTCTCTCTCCTTAGCCTTGATTCTGCCAGAATCTTCCTAAAACTGATCCTCTGGGTCAGCACAAGAAACAGCTGATGAGATCAGGCACCTGCGTAGGGTTCTGACTGAAAATATTTTCCATCTAACTTCTACTTGCAGGAGCATCAAATATTCAACAACACTGAAAATGGAAGGATGTCTCTGTTTAAAACCTCATTCAGTCAAGTATCAAAATTCAGTATTTTTTTAAGTGACAGCCCTTCCTTCCTACTCATCAGCCCTGTACATGACAGTCTGAATCACCATTTTCAAGACCCACTGTTCTCTCCTAAGTAGTTTTCTTAGGCTGCGGTATTTGGTGCCTTTTTCTTCCTTACGGACTTCTTCCAGCTTGAAGACAAGCACGACGAAACATAGGAAGGTCTTCAAACTCAGCAGCTGGGCCAATGTGACATTACATCGAGACAAAGATTTACTGTGCTGTACAGAGGAGGCAGTCAGCAGAAATGAGTTTCAAACTGTATCATCAAAGAACTTGGGCGGACCTTGGAAATATAATCTGTTTATCATGGTTTACAGAATGCAAACGATCTGTGCATTAGCCCAGCAGAACGCCGTACTGCTCTTCTGGCCAACCATGGCAAGCTCGAGCCAAGCTGCGTGAGCCTGGGCCATCGCTGTCCTGTGCCTGGTGATCACCCACATCTGCACAGATGCACACCCGTTTCACTAGAGCCTCAGAGTTGCCTTGTAGAGATATAAATGACTCAATGGATGGCAAAGCAGAGAACTGGAGCTGTGGTTGCAAAGAAAACTGGTTCCATAACCAGTCACAATGGTAGCTAATACTCATTCTCTGCTGGAGAAGGACTTGTGACCACGGGACCGACCTCAGCCTTCCCTAGCATTTTTTTGGAATGTTTCCTGTTATTTGCCAGGTTGCCGTACTGCCCACCACACAACACTTGCACCTGCTCCAAACAGATGCTGCAAGACCCATCAAAGCTTGGCGAACTTCTAGTCAAGCAGGCTTTCATTACAATTAAAATAGCCTCCTTTTCACTGCCAGGTTTGAGCACGTCCTGGTTTCTCCTGTCAATTGGCATGATATGAGCTTCAAGTTTTAAAAAACTGGATTTTTTAAAACATAATTGAAACCATGAAAGTTGAAGTATTCATTAAAATTTGTTAGGTGAATTAGCAGTTACTGCACTTTCATTTTACGGGTGCTACACGTGAGCTGAGATAACAAAACAGAAAGAACCAGAGAGAGATATCTTGGGCATAGCTGTGGGTACATGGAGACAGATATCCCTAGGGAAGGAGAGTTGCAAAAAGGCATCAAGATGGAGTTCACTGAACTGGCGTTTAAAGCTTTTGGAAAGTATATTTTTTTAGCAAGCCTTTAAAGTCAGTTATACTCACAGAATACGTTTTATCTCTGAGGATAAAGATAGCAAGATTTCATTATTTATCTGCCTCATACCTGAGGTTGGTCTCTGAGCGTGCAGGTCTCTGGCCCTGTGCTAGGCAAGAGTGACAGATCCCTCTCTGTTGGCAGGAGAGCAGGACCAGCACCTTCCCCTCGGTGTGGGCTGTGAGCTGGAGAAAGGGCAGCGAGGCCTTCCTCCCTGAAAGCATGAGACACTGCATTCCCCAACATCAGAACTTTGTTACAGGGACAAAAAACCAAAACAAAGTGGCTAAAGTAGAGAAAATCCTGGAAAATAGGTTAGACAGTATTTAAGCACAACTTTTCCCCGCAGAGGGCTTGTGTTAGATCCTAAGCTCCAGAAATGGGGGAGAAATAAACACAGCTTTTGGAATTAACCTGGCAAAATGGAGTTAGCTTCTGCCTGTCGCAGGGCCGCACGGTGGAGGTTGTCTTCATGCAGACAGCCGGCTCTTCCTCCCCCCAAACGGCTCCTCCATTCTCTGCTGAAGATCATCCCCTAATGTATCTATCTGTGCGGCGCAGCAGGCTTCCAGTGCTCTTCAGTTAGAAGAGACAGGAATTTTATCGCTAATACAGCAACATCAGTTTCCAGACAAGCAAAATCTGTCTGCAAGAAGGGAGAAAAAGCCCCCAGCTACCTGCTCTGAGCTCAGCTGCTGCGCTTTTCAGTAAAAACAGACATTTGGAAAACGGAAAGGAACAAGTAAGGTCCTGGGCCTGCAAATACTGGTCAGGTTTTGGACATGCTTAAACCTTCACACATGCCTTTGTTTACAGTAACGGAACTTAAAATTAACTCCTTTGTTTTACTTTGTGTGTGTCTTTTATACAGAGCTGAGGAGGAGCTCAATCTCTGCATCAAACAAAGGTGTACGGAGCCATTAGGTACAAGAACTCCAGCAAACGGTTGTAGTGGTCCTCAGTGGACATTCCCTGGAGGTCTCCAGTCAGCCCATCCGGGTTCAGGTTCATCTCTTAGTTGTTAAATAATGCCCCTCAGGGTCTTAATTCTGTCAGCATAAGTTCTTTGTTTACACAACTATTCTGGATCTATTAGTTCTGTGCTTTACTCGTGTGCAATGCTGTCAACTGCACGTAAGATGCCGCCATTTTCCTTCCACTCCTTTTGCACAGGTGCCGAGACTTTACGAAACACTGGGCAAGTGCAGGCGGTTATGTAGGAGCCAGGTAACATGGCCTCCATTTCCAGGCCTACCCACTGCGTAAAGGGAAGAACTCCTCAGGCGACGTTAAAACACGCACGTAGCAAACCTGCGCCAACCCCGCGCTCCGCCGCGCCGGGGGAACGCGAGGAAAGCACCGAGGGGAATGACTCTGACTCTCGGAGGACAGAGCGCGGGCTCCTCTGCTGCAGCTATACACAGCGCAGCCCCATCTCTTTCAGGTATCCTACTGGAAGATGTTGTTCTTATTTACTGCTAGGCCTGAGGGGGAAATCTTTTCTTTACACAAAATGGGACCTCGATCTCATTTTGGGCCTCTGAGCAGTCTCATTTTGGGCCTACTAATCACACCCAGCAGTACAGCTGATTCAGCTTACAGCTGAAAGGCTTCACACCAAAAAAACACAGAAAAAAAAGATATTTTTTTAGAGAAAAAGGTGAATTGATGGTGAGATATGGGAGTACAGACACAGCTTTTGAGGCCCACTGACCACTTCCACCACAAAAATGCAACCTGGGAGTCTGGCTTACTTATTTAATCTCTGCGCCAATTTATTCACATTCTGCCCTAAAACACCTGGGTTTTTGTAATAGTCTATGATCCTGCAAACGTGATGCACATCTGTTGAACTTTATTCTGCTGTGTAGGCCCATCGATTTCAACCTGGGACTGACGGGTACGCACTGGCCAGAGTGTTTTTGTGCCTGGGATCCGTGTGGGTTAAGCTCGGCCTTTTCAACAGAGGCAACCCTGGCTGTGTTGATACAACTGGTATTAAGTGGAAATTGCCACAAAACTAGAAAATATCGCCAAGGACGTTCACCTGTGTCTTCCTGTGCCAGTTTTTATGCATACTGATGTAGTTTTCCTGCAAAAGGCATTGCGGTTAAAATTGATTACTTTTCTGTTTACCTCTGATTACAATTTTTTCTTGTATTTTTCTCTTCTTTTTTTAGATGCCCTTCAGAAATTTGCAATTAAAATTGAAAAACATGCTTTAATAAGAGGCAGAAACACGAGAGCTTAGTTCTTGGCGTTCTGATGAGAGGTTTCGTGAGGAGAAGAAAACCACCATCGTCACAGCCATTAACGTTCTGATTTTGGAGCAGTGGAAACGTAAGTGAAGATTTATTTTTGAGAAGTCTCGCTTTGGTCGGTGACATAGTAATTTACAAATACTTATCCCCTAAATGTAGCGGTGCCGTGTCCCCGTGTGCGTGTTTACGCTGTCAGCCGCCCTTAGGCCCCGTTCCCTGTGACCCCCAGAGGGAGAAGTCTCCCCTCTCCGTGTGGCAGCACCAGGCAGGGCGGCTGCGCCCCCATCTCCCTGCC